TAGGTGCCTTAACAAACAATCCCCAAACCTCAGTGTCTTAACAAAATAAAATTTGTTTCTCACCCATAGAGCAGTCTAGTGTGAGTGCTCCTGGTCTGGCAGCCCTTCTACAAGCAGTGAATCGGGGATCTGGCATCCTTCCCCTTGTGGCTGTCCTATCCCCGATGTCCTCAGAACCCTCACTTCATCCTCTGCAAGTGGCCAACAAATGAGAGGAGAATGAGTGTGGGAAGGAGTTTGCGGGAGGTTTTCCGAGCCAAGCCTAGAGTCAGTGTACTCTACTTTCACTTACATCCCATTGGCCCAAACTTAGTCCCATGGTCACGCCAAACTGGAAGAAAAGTGAAGCAATCTTTTGAACAGGCAACCAATCTCTGCCACACAGGCTATAAATCATTGGGACCCCATTCTGCATCCAGCACATTAACTCTACTTTTCCCAACAACCCTGGCAGGTAGGAGTAGTAATTCGCATTTCATAGAAGATGAAGCTATGCAGGGGGAAATTGTCCAAGATTCCATAGCCAGACACTGGTGAAGCCAGAAACCAAACCAATTCTGTCTGGTGCCAAAACGTGTGTTTTCTCTGATCACCACATCCCACTGCTAGCCAGGATTCCAGAATTGGAATCCAGGTTGAGACTGCATGGTGCTCACCTTTTGGGGTGGAGTCAGGGCAGTTTTTTTATTTCACTGGTCTTGTTTCAGCACCCCAGGTCAAGAACCATAATTCCCTGGAAGCTGAAGTCCTTTCTGAGAAAGACTCCCGCTCCCCAGAATTGCTGGCCTGCGAGGGGACATCTCGTATCTTGTGCTGACATTTGCTGCTAAAGCTCACGGTGGATAACTCATGGCTGGTCTCCTGGCATGAGTGAGGCGTGGAATCCCCTGGCCTGGGTTTCCTGACCTCACCTCATTTCTTAGTCTGTTTGGGCTACTATAACAAAATACCACAGACTGGGTGGCTTATAAATTTACTTCTCACAGTTCTGGAGGCTGGGAAGTCCAAGCTCAAAGTGCTAGCAGATTCTGTGTGTGATGAGTGTTAGCTTCCTAGATAGCCATCTTTTTGCTGTAACCTCACATGGCAGAAAGGGTGAGGGAGCTTTCTGGGGTCTTTTTCATAGGGCACTAATTGCATTCATGAGGGCTCCACCCTCAAGACCTAATCACCCTCTGAAAAGCTCCACCTCCTAATACCATCACCTTGGGGATTGGGTTTCAACATATGGATTTTTGGGGGACACAAACATTCGGACCATAGTACCTTCCCTCTCGCTGGTGCTGCAGACCTTCTCGGTCCTCAGGTACGTGCCTCATCAATCTTTGGCTTGTGCTGCACCACTTTCCTCTCCTCCCCCGAGCTGATGCTATGAGGTCACTTTGTCCCCCATGGAAGCCTAACATCTGCCTTCTGCCCTCAATTCGGCTACTGTCTGTGCCCACATTGAGAGAACTGAGAACATTTAAATCCCTCCCATACCATGTAGGAGCTAGGATGGCTCTAAAGCTACCTCTCTGCCTCTCAATGTGACACCACCATTATCTTCTGCTGTGACCCCTCCATGGTAGTGCAGGGCCTCTAGAGAGGTGGACTGTTCCCAGATTCCCAACAGGAAGTGGAGCAAAAGCCTTCTGTTTTTGGCTTCCTTGCTCCAACGTATTCAAGGACTTCATTCTCCCCCTGCCCACCAGGAAGCCAGCCCCTGGCATATCACTGCTTTGTCCAGCTCTTCCTGACTTTCTTCTCTCTACACTACCACCTGCTCTCAGAAGAGAGGAAATGCTTTTTTCTGGGTGGAGCTCATTCTTCCCTAAAGCCATAAGTCTATTGTTATCTTGGCATCAGCAATGAAGAGAGTATAGTCGAAGAAGTGGGCTCACCAGGAAGGGAGGTCTGCTATTCCTGGTACTACTGAAATATTACCCCTGTAACATGTGGTATGTTTGTCATCCACACGGAGGCCCTTTCTGAAGGGGCTTGTCACAATGCAATCCCAATCAGACACAATAGACTCTCCACCTGAAGGTGCCACAGTCAACTCAGAATTGAACACCAGGCCCACTCCCCTCTCTTCAAATCACACAGTTAGCAGAGTCTTATAGACTTGTCAAATTGGGATACAAACCAATGATGGGAGATTTACATATATACCATGCCTGTCAACTATTCCCCTGCTCTCATATCCACTCTCCACACTTCCTCTTCCCCAGCTGTGCCTTGTATCACAGAGAACTACATTTCCCAGAATCCCTTGCCTGTTGGCTTCCAGCTCAGTCTGGCCAATGAGGGGCACTGGTTGAAGATTGGAGGGAAGGAGGAAGGAAGAGGCCAGGGTATCTCACCCCTGTCATTCTGTTTCCTGTGGCATATATGGCAATAGAGACACTCTGGCTCCCACAAAACAGACCCTCCTTCTGTGGTCACGGCTTCCTCTGGGGAGTTCCCACCACAGTTCAAGTTCTCTTGGATGGCTCCAGCCCCTGAGCTCCATTAAGCCACCCCTTCCCTGTGTCTCTTGTGTCTTCAAGGTGGTAGCAGCTTCCCACTGTTGCTAACCTCTGGATTGTCTTCTCATTCTCTGTTTAGGTTTTTCTTTCTTCCATTTACTGTGTAACCAATTCTCTGAATTAATCTGAAAGACTTGGACAAGTTTCTGCTTTCCTGTCCGGACTCTGACTGATACATATACATCATACTCATAAAACATGTATATACTTTAGGGAGAAAAATGAACATAACATGGTTGCATATCTCTTTTTTTATTCAGAAAGTTATACATGAAGGTTATTCATGAATTTTGGTATTGGTTTACCTCTGTGGTTTCCCAGAAAAGAACCAACACCTCCAGTGTTGTGGCTTGCCACTGGAGGTGACACTCAGGTCACCCTCTGATCCCACAAGTGAGAACAGTGCCCTGGATAAAAGGCCATAATTAATTTTTATTGCACATACATGTGGGGAGATACCTGCTTGGCCTCCATGTGAGAGCCATAACTCTCTTAAATTGATGTGTCAGCGAACTAAAACTCAATATTTTTTTTCGCACAGTATATTTTACAGTCAGAGGCCCTTCCCTAATCGGAATAAAGCAATTTGGCTCCCTGTCATTGCTCACTGAAAACATATGAGCTGGTTGGCATTTCTAGCATCCCAGATTTATCAGGGTCTCTGATCTAGTGCACGGGAGGTTCA